ATTGTCAATGATGTCTCATTGATCTATGTGTCTATTTTTGTGGCAGTACCATGCTGTTTTTGTGACTATGGCTCTTTAGTATACTTTGAGATCTGGTATAGTAATCCCCCCAGCATTGTTCTTTGTGCCCAGGGTTGCTTTCACTGTATGGGATCTTTTGTGCTTCCCTATGAATTTAAGGATTTTTTTCTAATTCTGTGAAGTGTGTCATGGGGATTTGTATTGGGATTGCATTGAATCTATATATTGCTTTTGGTAGGGTGGTCTTTTCACAGTATTAATTCTTCTAATCCATAAGTATGGGAGGTCCTTCCATCATCTAGTGTCTTCCTCAATCTCTTTCTTTAAAGATTTAAAATTTTTGTTGTAGAGATCTTTGATGTCTTTGGTCAGTTTTATTCCAAGATTTTGTTTATTTATTTATTTTTTGCAGCTATTGTGAATGGGAAGGTTTCCCTGTACTCTTTCTCCCATTACTTGTTATTGGTATATAGAAAGGCTACTGATTTTTGTAGATTAATTTTGTAACCTGCCATTTTATTGAAAGTGTTGATCAGTTCTAGGAGTTTTCTGGTGGGATCTCTTTTGGTATCTCTAGGTATAATACATCATCTGCAAAAAGGGGTAATTTGACCTCTTCTTTTCCAATTAGTACTCCTCTAATTTCTTTCTCCTGTCTTATTACTCTAGCAAGAGTTTCAAGCACTATATTGAAAAGGAGTGCTGTGGGTTTGTTGTAAATAGCTTTAATTATGTTGAGGTATGTTCCCTCCAGTCCAATTCCCTTTAGAACCTTTTTCGTGCATGCATGCTGAATTTTGTGAAAGGTCTTTTCTGCATCTATTGAGATGACGATATGGTTTTTGTCTTTGAGTCCATTTATATGGTTGATGACACTTATTGACTTGCATATATTGAACCATCCCTGCATCTCTGGAATAAAGCCTACTCAATCATTGTGAATGGTCTTTTTGATGTACATCTGTATGCAGTTTGCAAGTATTTTGTTGAGAATTTTTACATCTATGTTTATGAAGGATATGGGTCTATAGTTTTCTTTTTTGATTATGTCTTTACCTGGTTTGGGTATTAGAGTGATGCTGGCTTCATAGAAGGAATTTGGGAGTTCTCCCTCTGTTTCTATCATTTTGAATAATTTAAGTAGTGTTGGTTGGAGGTCTTCTTTAAATGTCTGGTAGAATTCCTCTGTAACTTCATTTGGGCCTGGATTTTTTTCAGGAGGCTTTGTATTACTGTTTTGATTTCCTTATATATTATGTTCTGGATCCTTGGGTGTCTCTTGTGATGTTTCCCCTTTCATCTCTGGTTTTGTTGGTTTGGATTTGCTCTTTCTTTCTTTTGGTTAACTAGGCTAAGGATCTGTCCATCTTGTTTAGCTTTTCAAAGAACCAGCTCTTCGTTGGTTATTTGTATTTTCTTTGTTTCTATTTCATTAATTTCTGCTTTGATTCTTGTTATTTCTTCTCTTCTGCTGGGTTTGGGATTCATTTGTTCTTGCGTTTCCAGTCTTGAGTTGCAATGTTATTTGTGCTCTGATTTTTTAATGTAGGCACTTAGAGTTATAAACCTCCCTCTTAGGACTGCTTTTAAAGTGTCCCAGAGGCTTTGTTTTGTTGTATTGTCCTTTTTGTTGAATTCCAGGAATTCTTTTATTTGTTTCTTAATTTCTCCTTTGACCCACTCATTGTTTAGGAGTGTGCTGTTTAATCTCTAAGAGTTCCTGTAGTAACTAGGGCTTCTTCCAGTGTTGATTTTTGAACTTTATTGCATTGTGATATGATAGAATGGCATGGAATTATTTCAGTTTTTCTTTTTTTTTATGTTTGTTAAGGTTTGTTTTGTGCCCCAGTATGTGGTCAATTTTTGAGAAAGTTCCATGGGGTGCTGAATAGAAAGTGTATTCTTTGGTGTTTGGGTGGAATATTCAGAAGATGTCTATTAGAGCCATTTGAAGTATGGTATCATTTAATTCAGTGGTCTCTCTGTTTATTCTTTGTCTGGTTGACCTGTCTAATGGAGACAATGGGGTATTAAAGTTCCCTGCTATTACTGAGTTGGGGTTAATCTGTGTCTTAATGTCCTGTAGTGTTGTTTTTATGAAGTTGGGTGCACCAAAGTTTGGTGCATATATGTTCAGGATTGTGATATCTTATTGGTTTGTTGTTCCTTTGATCAGAGTGAAGTGACCCTCTTTATCTCTTCTGATTAATTTTAGTTTGAAGTCTATTTTGTCAGATATTAGAATTGCAACCCCTGCTTGCTTCTTAGTACCATTTACTTAGAATATTCTTTTCCATCCTTTCACTTTAAGGTAGTACCTGTCCTTGAAGATGAGATAGGTTTCTTGTAGACAACGAAAAGATGGATTTTGTTTCTTAATCCATTCAACTAGTCTGTATCTTTTGACTGGAGAGTTTAGTTCATTGATATTTAAAGTTATTATTGAACGATGTGTATTGGTTGCCATCATTTTGATTACTGTTTGCATTCTTTTTCTAATTTTGTGTTTCCACAATTATACCTTTATTTAGTTTGTTTCGTTGCCCCGGCGTACAGTTGTTCCTTTCTCTATTCTCTGTGTTGCTTCAAGTATTCTTTGAAGAGCTGTTTTTGTGGACATGTATTCTTTCAAGCTCTTCGTGTTGTGGAAGACTTTTCTTTCCCCCTCAACTATAATAGACATTTTTTCTGGGTAGAGTATTCTGGGTTGGCATATATGGTCATTTAGAACTGAAAATACCTTGGTCCAGGCTCTTCTGGCTTTCACAGTTTGTGTTGATAAGTCAGCTGTAATTCTGATGGGCTTTCCTTTGTATGTGACTTGTTTTTCTTTTGCTGCTTTCAGTGTTCTCTCTGTGTTCTGTACATGTAACATTTTTTACTATGATGTCCCATGGGGAGTTTCTTTTCTGATCGTGTCTATTTGGTTTTCTATGTGCTTCTTGTATTTGTATGGGGATGTCTTTCCTTAATTTTGGAAAATTTTCTTCTACAATCCTGAAATTCTTCTTCCTCTAGGCCTATGATACATAGATTTGATCTTTTCATGGTGTCCCTCATCTCCTGCATATTCCATTTCTCTGTGTGTGTGTTTTAATTTTTCATACTTTTTTCTTGAGCAGTCCAGTTCTTCAACTTTATCCTCCAGTGTTGACATTCTGTTTTCCATTTCATTCATTCTGGTAGTGAGGCTTTCCCCTGTTGTTTCAAGTTGGCTTATTGAGTTTTGCATTTCCTTCTTCATTTCTGCCTGAGTTTTCTTCAATGTTTCTGTCTCTTTTGTGAAGTTTATCCCTATCTTTTTTTAGTTCTTTGATTTGTTTATATGTGTGTTCTTTAAATTCATTGAATTCCTTTATCATGTTTATGATTGTTCCTTTAAATTCTGTGTCCTGGGTTATCTCTAGCAGGTTCTCCTTGTAGAACTCTTCTACAGGACTGGTGGAATGTGGTAGGGATATAGTGTTTTGGCTTTATCATTTTATTATTTTTTCATTGTGACTTTGGCATGTGAATTTTTGTTGTTTGTGATTCTGATATGAACATCAAGTCTTTTGTTGAGTTGAAGTTTGCTTCTGTTTGTATTATTGGTGTGCCTTGGCTATTTTCTTATTGGTTATGTAAAGCTGATTGGTCTAGGTTTCAAGTTCTCTCAGATTTTATTTTGAAGGGAACTGATGGCTTCAGATCAGCTACTTAGGAGCTCCCACAGCAGCCCAGGTCAGGCTCCAGTCAGGTACACTCAGGTGGTCTGCTGAGATATCAGCCCCTACACAGATGTAGGCCAGGTCAGACACTCTCCAACTGTCTGCTAAGGTCTCAGCCTTACCCTACCATAGGCAGAGGTCTGCCCTGGGGCCATGGGAGAGGCCTCATGCAATCCCAGTTAGGGGACCAGGTACAGTGAGATTTGGGGAAGCTCACCATCACCTGAAGGCCAGATCCAGGTGTTCTCATGCAGCCTACTGAGTTCTCAGCCCCTACCCCAGATGGAGGCCAGATCAGGCACTCTCAGGCTGTCTGCTAAGGTCTTAGCCTTACCCTACCATAGGGCAGAGGTCTGCCCTGGGGCTGTGGAAGGAGCGTCATGTAATCCCAGTTAGGGGGTTGGCTATGGTGGGTGCGATTTGGGGAAGCTAATTACCACATGGAGGCCAGATCCAGGTGCTCTCAGGCGGTCTGCTGAGATCTCAGCCCCTATACCAGGTGGAGGCCAGACCAGGCACTTTCAGGCTGTCTGCTGGAGTCTCTGGTTTAAATATTTTTAAGCCTTTAGTTTATCAGTGTTACTGGGGAATTTATTAAAAATGAGATTCCTAGAGCCAAAACTCTACTCTTTCTTTCCTCCAAGGCCTGTGTGTTTGTCTGTCTGTGCATCTATGTGTGTGTGCACACAGATGTGACACTATACCAGTGTGAATTTAGCATCCCTATAAAGACTGCTTTTTGATGTCTAAGGGTAACTGTTGGTGCTCTCCAATCACTTGTATTTCTTAGTAGAATTCTCTAGAAATAAGATTGCTTCTTTTGTGTTCTTTTTTTGGGGGGGGGTGTCTTTTTGAGACAGGATCTCTCTAGTCCCAGCTGTCCTAGAACTCACTATGTAGACCAGTCTGGCCTTGAACACACAGAGATCCATCTGCCTCTGCCTCCCGAGTGCTGGGATTAAAAGCGTGCGCCACTGTAAAGAAGCAAAATACTGAAGCTAAGATTCCATAGTTGAATGATCACTACTGTGATTTGAATTTTACTATTTGGATTTTCTTGCCCTTTCAAGATTTTTAAATATTTTCTTATAATAATGATAATCATAAATGACTAATTTATCTCATCTAGAAATGACACCTTGACACATGCTGTGATGACCTTAGATTGCACTTTTATGTTACAGAAATTCCCTTTGAACTAGAATTGCACTTATTTTACATTTTGGGGTATTATAGAATGCATTGTTAGATCTTACTGATTTTTCCCTCCAGGTGTATATTGCTTGTGTTTGGAGTGTGGCTCCTGTACATCCTCAAGTTAAATTATACTGCTGAAGAATGCGACATGAAAAAAATGCATTATGTGGACCCTGACCGCATAAAGGTGAGATTTTGCATTGGTGTGGTTCAAACTCAAACATTTCCAAGCGCATATTTAAGCTGCAATACCATCTCCACTGTGTTCCATAGAAATGCTAATGAAAATTTGAAGGAGAGTACTCTAGTTTCATATCTGTTGCTGCCATGAAATAGTCTGATCAAAAGCAACTTAGGGGAAGAAAGATGTGTTTTAGCTTGCAGGTTACAATCTGTCATTGAGGGAGGTCAAGGCAGGAACTCAAAGGCAGACCTGCTTGCTGTTCCATGTAGCAGTTCCTCTAACCAGAGAGCTCACACCTGAATCCACGGAATGCTGCTTGATGGCTCGCTTGCACAGGCTCATGCTTAGCTAGCTTCTTTATAGCACCCACAGTAAGCAATCAATTAACAATCAAGACAATCCCCCACAGGCAAGTCTGATCTGAGAAATTCCTCAGTCTGGACTCTCTCATTAGATGATTCTCAGCTCTGTCAAGTTGACAGTTGAAGCTAACTAGGTCAAGGAGAAAAGAATTTCAGCACTCCAAATCCAGTGACACTCCCTCCCAAAGCCACCATCTGGTCCCTCCATTCTACAGTATTATTCGCCATTTATATCAGCTGTGGCATGGGATGTGGTGGGTTCTGCTGGATACATGCTGGGGCACTTTTCCTGGAGTTCATCCAACTAGATGCTGCCCATCGTGTTCCTAAAACAGATGATGAAAAGATTTTGTGAATGTGTCTTGTCATTCCACGGTTTTAGCTTTAGTTGGAATGATTTTCACATTTGGATTTCCAAGTTTTTTCTTTCAGTTTGCATTGGTTTCTAAGTTGTTTGATGCATTAAATATAAAGTTCACTGATAAATTAGTCAGTAATGTTCAGCCAGAGGTAAAAGAAGAGGTATTTAAAACAAGGAAGCATGGTGGGAATGAGCACTGATAGGCACAGATGAATTATGTATAGTGTCTCACTCTAACCATCCTACTGCTTTCTAGCATCATGTCCATCTACAGACAGTGGGCTGCAGGCTTGAGCTGCAGCCCAAGTCCACACCTACTCTAGTTAACCAATTCAGTAGCCTAGTTAAGGGCTTGTACTGTGTAGGAACCGTGCTGCCGGTGCACTGTGATTTTAGCTCATTGAGTCCTCATGATTGCCCTGGGGATGTAGGTGTATGATCTTCACTCTCTCACACCTGAGGCAGCTGCAATTGGAGATGAAGTAACTGACCCAAGGTCACCTCAGTTAATGAGTGCTCCTAACTGTTCTACTCTGCCAGGTAGGGAGTTTCCTCACGGCAGCCAGAAATTACAGGCAGCTGGTGCAGAGAAGAAAGCGCTTCCGTTTTTTACATAAATGCAAATCTAATTGTCACAAAGTAACAAACTTTAGGCAAGTCATTGAATTGTGCCATGCATGGTGGCTTACATCTGGAATGCCAGCACTTAGGAGGCAGAGGCAGGAGGATTGCCATGAGTTCCAGTTCAACCTGCGCTGCACGGCAAGACTTTGTCTTCGAACAGCAAAGCAAACCAAAAGATACTGATTTAGTTGAGTCCCAGTTTTTTCAACTGGACAGTGTGGGCAACAGCATCTCGCTGTGACAGCATCTTCACACAAGTTGGATCAGATGCTATGCACAAGACTCCTTTTCTGGTTTGACTTTTACTCACTTCTTTCTACCTTAGTCTGTGTATTCTTCAATCTCCAGTTTTTTGTGGTCCAGGTATGTATAAACAAGTGAGGAGCTTGGCCCTGCAGAACTGCTGAGGGTCAGGGTCTTGCTAATCAGAGTCTTCCTTTCCCTGCTGTCCATCTGTCCTCAGATGCTTACTGCCTCCTTTCATGTCATCAGCATTGCACATCTGCTTTGGTGGAACCAGACGTGTCCAGTGTCCTCTGTCTGCTTGGGGTGCCCTCCTTTGCCTGTCTGTCTAGCCTTGCAGACATCCCCCAAATCCCTTTTAGTTTTGAGGCCTTTTATAGCTCTCTTGGATCAGGTTTTCAGACATCCCATCTGTTTCCTGTCTCCTGGGAAAGGCATTTGGTATGACTTACTGATACACCGTGAACTCTTGCGTTTGTCTCTTTGCTGTGTTTCGTCATTTCCCTGTGCATCTTATTTTCCTTTCCTTCTAATTAAGTATGTCAGTGTCCTGACTACCTCCTAAATGATTTCTCTACAGTCTATGTTAATGGAGGACAGAGGTGAGCTCTCTTTAAACAAGGTCAAAAACGTTGCACAAGCGTAGGTTGGAGATGTGTTTCCAAAGTACCTTATGTGAAATCTGCTTAGCAGAAGTAGAGACCTGGCTGCTTGCAACCATTTTTTTTCTTCCAAAACTACATTAATGGGCCAGGGATGGTCTGCTTGTCTTGTTAATGATCTGACAACTGTTCAGATTATTATTATTATTATTATTATTATTATTATTATTGTTGTTATTGTGTGTATGTGTGCATGTGCACACGCACATGCATATGCATGCCAGAACTCAACCTCGAGTATCTTCCTTTCTCTTCCTCAATCTACCTTATTTTTTGAGACAGAGTTTCTCACTGGAGCTCACTGTTTGGCTTGACTGACTGGCTGGCCAGGGAGCTTCGGAAATATGCCTATCTCCACCTTCTCAGGGCTCCCTTTGACACGCACCATCCTAGCAGGACTGGGTTGAGCTGCTCTCTCCTGACCTCTCCTTTTCTTTCTAATCACTTTATTGAGATACAATTCACATATAGTAAAATTCACCATTGAAAGCCAAAACCATCTAAACTTAGAACAGTTCCAATTCCAGGGGATCCGACACTGTCTTCTGACCTCTGTGAGCATTGCATAACATGGGCGCACTTTTATATATGCAGGCAATACACACATACACATAAGTTTTCTTTAAAACAACAATAAAAACACCTAAAAATTCAAATAATAAAAAAGTTTCCTCTTTTATTCCTTCCTGTATTATTCTGTGGGGGAGGAAGGGGGGACTGTGGGCGACATCTGAAAGGCTGACAGTCATGGCAGAAATGGAGGTATTTTGCTCTGTTACTTGAGATGTCTTTTTGTTTAATATTCTATTATTTTTATTTTATGTGTATGGGTGTATTGCCTGCATGTATGTGAGTGCACCCATGTTGTGCAATGCCATGGAGGTCAGAAGAGGGCTTCAGATTCCCCTGGAACTGGAGTTAAGGCAGTTCGTAGCTACCATGCGGGTTCTGGGAATTGAACCCGGGTCCTCTGCAAGAGCAGTCAGTGCTCTTAACTGCTGAGCCATCTCTCCAGCCCCCGAGACATCTTTTTTAAAGGTAAGTTCTTGTTATGTAGCTCAGGCTGTCCTTGAACCCCCTTTTTAAACACATTTATTATTTTTATTTTATGGGTTTGAGTGTATTATTTGCATGTATCTAAGTGCACCCATTGTACAGTGCCTGTGGAGGTCAGAAGAGGACATCAAATCCCCTGGAACTGGAGTTAGTACAGTTGTTAGCCACCATGTGGGTACTGGGATTCGAAAGTGGGTCTTCTGCAAGAGCAGCCAGTGCTCTTAACCACTGAGCCATCTCTCTAGCCAGAACCCCCTTTTTAAAAGGTTTTATTTTAGCCGGGCGTGGTGGTGCACGCCTGTAGTCGCAGCACTTGGGAGGCAGAGGCAGGCGGATCTCTGTGAGTTCAAGGCCAGCCTGGTCTACATAGTGAGTTCCAGGACAGCTGGGGCTACAGGGAGACCCTGTCTCAAAAAGACCAAAAAAAAAAAGATTTTGTTTTTATTTTGTGTGTGAATGTTTTGCCTGCACGTACACAAGTGCACCATGTGTATATAGTATGGAGGAGGCCAGAAGAGGGCATCAGAACCCCTGGACCTGGAGTTGTAGATGGTTGTAAACTGCCATGTGGGTGCTAGGAACTGAACCCCAGGGTTTTTGCAAGACAGCAAGTGCTCTTAAGCACTGAGCCATCTCTCCAGCCCCCATTTCCTTTAACTTTTGTTTTACATTTATTTATTTATCTGTGATTGTGTACATATGTCTATGGGTGCATATGTATGCAACAGTGTACATATAGATGTCAGAGGATAACTTATTGAAGTCAGTTTTCTCCACCATATGGGTTCCAGGGTTGTCAGGCTTCGTCGCAAGCACTTTTACTTGCTGAGCCATCTTATTGCCCTGTCGCCTTTTTGTTTCACCCTGTCAAATTGTCCCACTTTTCAGAAAGGTCTTGGCAGGTTGTTCTACTTCCTTCTGGTGTGTGCAGCTCATCATGGAGGGTTTGGGGTTGAGGCAGGGTATGAGATAGAAAATGGGACAGACAAGGAAAGTCCTCAAAGGCCACAGCAAATAGTTGGTTAATATGTTATGTGTTGTATACCATTAACATGGCAACAGAACTCATCTCTTGCATCTCCAGAATGGAGGAAATGGCATGAGACCCTGGTGTCCTGAAAGGTTGGGAGATGGGGTATGAACTCCCTACAAAGAACACCCTGACCCTATGCTGTCCATGAAGGTCTGGTTCTTACCCCCTAGAGTACATGGCTAAAATTACTTTGTTTTATTTTTGTCCTTTTTTTTTTTTTTTTTTTCATTTTGAGACAAATTCTTGCTTTATATCCCAAACTAGCCTTGAATTCATGGTCCTCCTGACTCCCAAGTGCTGGGATTACAGTTGTGTGACACCACCATGCCTGGTTTTACACACATCTGAATAATCGCACATTCATATTTTCAGAGGGGAGTTTCAGCCTTGTTAGTTTTATTGGTTACACCCAGCATTTTGAAGCTTGAATGGCACTGCCCTGTCAGACCCTAGTGTTTTCCACTCACTGGGCTCAACTGGCACTCATACACAGGAGAGGAAGAGTGGCCGCCAAAGTTGTGGGGTTGTATTTTCTATTTAAAAATACCCCTTAATGTGCCAGTTGTTAACTAGACCAACATTAATCTCTGAAGGAATACTTGGACACATTGAAAGTGTGGTTCAGATGTGAAATTGCACTTAAAAGATATTTAAGGAGAGTTAGGCATATTGTGTCAATTTAGGCTTGGGCTAAATTGTGGCAGCAATTTGAACTGGGCCCACTCTCCTCTCAGAGAGCTAAAGACCACAGATCACTCTGGGGAGAGCATTCCATGTAGTGAGTTGTGGCCCAATTTCCTCAGCTTCTTCCTGTAGCTTTCTCTGAGTTGGCAAATCTCCACTTACTGTGCTTGCAGTGAGCAGCCGCTGCGCAAACCCCCCACCCCCACCCCACCCCCACCGAGCTGTGCGGTGAGTAGACATCCTACACTCACTCATCTTTGCTATCCTTGGTGCCACTGCTGCTTTTCCACAGAACACCCTGAAATATGTCTGAGGTGAGAAAACAGAAACCTCCACCCCATGTCCAGTGCTTTAAACAAAATAATGCTGCCGGTTAAATAGATCTGAAACTCCCCAGCCTTTAGGTCTTCCAGTTGTATCTTTCTTTACAGTTGGTGGACATGAATCACAACAGTAGGATTTACTCCTTGGAAGCATCCTGTAAGTCACACCACCATCACCACAATTCAACTTGGAGACATTGACTCCACTAGTTAATTCCCTCAAGCCTCTTTAGAATCAATTCTCAATTGAATTCTATCCAGGGCCTGGGCAGCCACTGCCTCATTGAGGTTTTACTGTAGTATTATTTCCATGAGTTGATTGTTTAAGTTTTGTCTGCTTTTAATCACAGTAAGGTTACAGACAGGTAACTTAAAGTGTGTGGAGAACGTTGCCCACACATGTGCCAGGCACTGGGCAGGATGTTTCAGGCATCACAGTAACCATGAGGAAGAGACCAATCTACGATTGCAGATGTGGAAATTAAAGTTGCATGTGGTCACTGAGGTTCCAGACACCAGGGGCTATGGCAGAGGTTGGGCTCCTTTCCATGTTTGGTTAACCTGAAGTTTTGTGACCTAAACTCTACCCTGTTCTGAAATTACAAAATCAGTAGATAATGAAAATACAATTTTGTTGCTTTCTAACAAGTATGTCCCTTACCCGTATTTCTGAGAATCGGGATCCTTAAAGTTATGGAGTGAAAATCGAAATCGGAGATTTTGCTGAAGAAAATGACTTCAGTGAATTTTCACATTGTGGTTTTCCATGGCAAATTGCCACATCATTGACAATTAGAACTCTAAGATATCTATTTAAGAATGCTGGTGGCCTGAAATTTCAGCCTGGAAGACTTTGAAGAACTAAAGCCTTTATTTCCAGCTCTAGATTTGACACAGGTGTCTTATATCTTGTCAGAGTAACACCAATTCCTTGCAGTCCAGAAGTGTCACTAGATGATGCCATCCGAGCCTGAGACTGGCGCCTCCTAGTCACCCTTCTCTTGTTCAGCTACTCTGGCCCCAGCTCTGGAGTCATCTGCAGCACAGCAGCCCCCCCCACACACACACAATACCCCAGCTCCTTAAGGGGAGCCATTCCTTCCTCATCATTTTCTTCTGAGGCAAACCAAATCCCAGGCAAACCAAAGAGAGGAGGGAAACCAAAGTACATCTAGTTAACAGATATCCCAGCATGACCATGGACATTCTCAGAGCTCAGCACACACCTTTGAACAAGTTGAAAAACCAAGGGAGGGAGGGACTCGCTGTGACTTTGGACATCTCCAGTGCCATTTAGCACAGTTGCTAGCCCACTCTGATTTCCTGCCCCAGCTGTGAAGCAGGTGCGGACGGGGTTACCTTGGAGGGTGGTGGGTGAGCCTTGTGCTCTGTTCACAGTCCACAGGATTAAATTTGAAGCCTGAAATTGAGCTCTTTGCCAGGATGGGAATGGAATGAGATTTCACTACTTCCAAGTGAAACTTCTAAGAGATGATTTGGCAGTGCCAGAGAGCTGTGCCCACATTTGCAGCTTGCTTTTGCCCTCTCTTTCTAGTCCGGAGTTGGAGGAAGCTTTTCTGGGTCCCCTTTGGCACTTTGCACATGTTCCTTTGATCCTAGGCAACTTGCTAGGAACAAATTGGGCCTTTGGGGCTCTAAAACATGCTGTTCATGACCATCAGGCCTGGAGTCTAGAGATGAATGAATACATTACCATGGTCTTGTTTGTCTGACCTCCACGACATTTGGCGTTAAGCCCCACTGGGGGTGGAGCCTCACCTGCTTGACACAGGTTCTGGGTGAGCTTCTGTGTTTGGGGATAAAGGGTCCTGATAGGTTGCTTGCTTGGCTGTCTGGTCCCTCAGGAAGAAGCCAGTTACATGGAAGCTGCTGTTTCAGGAGCTGTGGAAGTGAGCAGCCAGGTCACAATGCCAGCTTAGCCTTCTGGTTATGCCACCTTAGCCACAAAGGGAACTTACTAACGACTGTATCTCAGAGTACCACAGTGGTGTGAGGCTGTGAAACTATCAGTTCTCCTTTTCCAAAATGGAGTTAGATCCCAAAAATGCACACCATTTGCAGGCACTGAATAACTTTTTGAGGCTATAGTTTTAAAATAGTTTTTTTGTTGTTGTTGTTTGTTTTTTGTTTCTTTGAGACAGGGTCCCCAGCTGTCCTGGAACTCACTATGTAGACCAGGCTGGCCTTGAACTCACAGAGATCCGCCTGCCTCTGCCTCCCGAGTGCTGGGATTAAAGGCATGCACCACCATGCCTAGCTTAAAATAGTTTTTAAAGTGTTTCTGCTGAAATGAGGGAAATGTGTTCTACCAAAAATTGTATTTTATAAAAATCAGATAAGGGCAAGCAAGATGGCTCCATGTACCTGCTGCCAAAACCCACTGGTGGAAGGAGAGAACAAACTCCCACAGTTGTCTTCTGAACTCCACACAAACACTGAGGCACATGTACCCCACCTCCACAGACAGATGCACATAAAATAAAGTGTAATAAGAAAAAAAACTTGGGGGCTGGAGAGATGGCTCAGTGGTTAAGAGCACTGACTACTCTTGCAGAGGACCTGGGTTCAATTTCCAGCACCCACATGGCAGCTAACAACCATCTGTAACTCCAGTACCAGGAAATCCAATGCCCTCTTCTGACCTCCACAGGCATTGCACGACATGGGTGCACTTACATGCAGGCAATACACTCATATACATTAAATAAAAATAATAAAATACTTTTTAAAAAGTTGACTGGTCAAGAGTCCTTATAATATGATACTGACAAAGATCTGGAGACGTGATCAGTTCCTAAGTATACATATTTTGGGAAGTGCAGGATCTCATGTATCACATATACCTCCATGTAGGTATGCATGTGCACACAGGGGAGTAGGTGCATAAGGCAAAGCTGCTGCACTGAAAATAACAGCATAAGCCGTGAGGGGCAAGCACTGAGAAGTAGTTTTGAGGCAGCATCCACTGCAGCATCCTCTGGGCTTGTTGCGTTCTGAGCTGCTGTACTTGGGCTTCAGCAGCTGCCCCTTGCTGATGTAAGCCATTAATGTCTGGGGAAATACATATGACCCAGCAAGTTCTGCATTATCAAGACATTGTTTCTTGATTAACACTAAAGATCATTTGTCTTCCAGACTACCCAAAGCTGATTAGTCCCTACTGATAAGCAAGTCTGTTTCTTGCCCTGCTAGGTGGGAACCTAAACTAGAAAGCCTTTTCTTATTTTTCTTGTGGTTAAAAAAGACCATATAACAATTTACTGTCTTAACCATTTGGGGTGGTACTAAAGATCAAGCCCAGGGCCTTGCACCTGCTAGGCAGCTAGTCCACCACTAAACTGCATTCCCAGCCCCAACCTTAACCTTTTTTTTTTTTTTGAATCTTAACCATTTTTAAATGGTGCAGTTGTGCAATGTTATGTATATTCTTGCTGTTGTGAAACAAATCACCAAAACTTTTTTCTTTTATTATATTTGGATGGGGAAGGTTGTGTACGAACCACAGCATGTGTGTGGAGGTCAGAGGACAACCTGCAGGAGTCAGTTCTCTCCCTCCACTACATAGGTCCCAAGGATTGAATTCACGTCATCAAGCTTGGTGGCAAGTTTCTTTACCCACTGATTCATCTCAGCCACCATCCAGAACGTTCTCATTTGCAAAACTGAAACTTTGTACCTGTTAATCAAGCCCCCTTTCCCCCATCTCCTCAGTCCCCGGACCTTACCATTGTGTCCTGTGTTTTTATAAATCTGACTCCTTCAGATACTTCAGATAAGTGACATCATATCGGGCTTGTCCTTTGTGACTGGTCTGCTTCACTTGGCATAACGTCCTCAAACATTGTCCATGGTATAGCATGGAGCAGCATTTAATGAAACACAAAATCGTAAGCCCTTCCAATTTTTTGGAGCAGGCATTCAAGACAGGATCTCACTCTAGCCTAAGCTGATCTGGAACTCACTGTATAGCTCAGACTGGCCTCAAACTTTAAACAATTCAATTTTCACTCCAGTGTATTTGTGCAGTATTAGACCATGCGCAGGAAGTGGGAGTCCTTCCTGCTTTATTTGTGCCTCATGACACAAATACGCTTGTAGAGTGTCTGTCTTGTCCTGTGGTGCTGCTGAGTTGTTCCTTCCAGTTTCTGAGCAAAAACGAACCCTAAAAGGCAAATGCTCTGTGTTATGATTATCATCAAGGCATCACATGACAACATGTGGTCTATAGAGTGCATTTCTAATGCTGGGGAGGTTTTAAAGCTGATATTGTTCATTTCATTCCAGAGAGCACAGAGCTATGCTCAGCAAGTCTTGCAGAAGGAGTGTCGACCGAAGTTCGCAAAGACAGCAATGGCACTGTTATTTGAGCACAGATACAGCATGGACTTGGTGCCCTTCATGCAGAAGGTCCCTGGAGCGAGTGAAGCTGAGTTCCAGTATGATCCTCCTTTTGGATTCCGGAAATTCTCCAGTAAAGTCCAGAGCCTCTTGGACATACTGCCTGAACATGACTTTCCTGAACGTTTGAGAGCTAAGCACTGTAGACACTGTGTGGTTGTTGGGAACGGGGGCATCCTGCATGGACTAGAGCTGGGCCACACTCTCAACCAGTTTGATGTGGTGATAAGGTACCTGCGCTCAAAATCAAGCTTTCTTCCTTAGAATTCGGTCATGTGCTCTGGGCCAGTGCAACTCCAGGGACAGCGAGGGGGCACTGTAAACACTTCAGAATCCCTGCCTCAAGGACCATAACTCCTTGAGATATTGAGACAAAATCACAAGTGCCCAGGTACCCCAAATTATGTAGTGCTTTTCCTAGATTTGAAAAGCATGTTGTGGACAGTAATCACTGGCAGAGCCTTTCAGGAGGAAAATTTGGAAAGATGAACCAGCACTGTTAGGCAGGGGTAACAGAAGGACAGTAGTGCAGGAGATGGAGGTGGAGGGACACGTGGCTTTGGGAGCACGGCTTGGGGATAGTGGGCCCTGGGAGACAGTACTGGCTGGGATAGAAAACCAACAAGGGAATTGAAATTGGCCAGTAGATACCAGTAGATAGCTATCCTAGAGGGTTTGTTTTATAGCTGTCCTAGAGGGTTTTTTTGTTTTTTGTTTTTTCCTGACATAGCTCTTTAAAAATTGTTTCTCTAAGTCAGGCATGGTAGCACAAACCTTTAATGCCAGCACGCAGGAAGCAAAAGTAGGTGGATCTCTCTGAGATTGAGGCCAGCCTTATCTACATAACGAGTTCCAGGCCAGCTGAGGTTACAGGGAGTCCTTGTCTGAAAAAAAAATTGTTTTTCTAGGTCTGGGCATAGTAGCACATGCCTTTAATCCCAGCACTCTGGGGGCAGAGGCAAGCCAACCTCTATGAGTTGGAAATAGTCTGGTCTACTTAGTGAGTTCTAGGCCAACCAGGGCTACATAAAGAAAATTGTTTTTCTAGACTGGAGGTATCTTCAGGGGTAGAGCACTTGACCATATATGAGGCCCTGGGTTAAGTGATAGCACAAGAAAAAAAAGTTTCTCCAATGTTAAAAATAAAAGATACTCATTACTGACAAGAACATGATAACCACCCATAGCATGAATAACCAGCCACTGTTAATTTGCTATGCTTTTTTCACTTTTGCTCTGGACATGCATGTGGATGCCAGTAAAGTCAGATGAAGGCATCCAGCCATTGGAGCTAGAGTTACAGGCTGTTGTGAACCATCCAGTGTGGGTGCTAGGAACCAAACTCTGGTCTTCTGAAAGAGAGGCAAGCATTCTAACCACTGAGCTGTCTCTCCAGCCCAGCATTTGTGTTTATATAAGGAATTTTTTTAACTTACATTTAAGATTAGTTTCTGAAGTCATTGACTATTTTCAGACCTCCTTTCGAGGAGGGTAAGTTATTTGGTGACTCCCTTGCCAGACATTAGAATGCCTCCATCTTTCTCCTTTTTATTGTGAAACAGCTTTGTATGTTCTTATGCAATGCATTTTTAGATCCACCTCTGATTAGCTTTTTAGACAAGCTCTGTAGAATTGTTGGCTCCAAGAATTGGGGAACTATTTTTCAGACCTTTGATACGCTGCAACAAATTAATTATGAGAGCTGGGTACTAACTTAGTCTGCCCTGCAGAAGTGTATGGGGTGGCACTGGAGAGATGGCTTAGCGAAGAACACTGGTGGCTGACAGCCATCCATAACTCCAGGCCCAGGGGATATGACGCCCTCTTCTGACCTCCTCAGGCCTGCATGACATGGGTGCACCTACGTGCATGCACTTATACATATAAAATAAAAATAATAAAATATTTTTTGAAAAGAAATATATGGGTGGATTGAAGACCGGAAAATGGGGACAGGGCCTGGGGTCAGAGGGTAACCAGGTGAGGATGTAAAGTGTGTAGTCTGTGTTAACACACAGAAAATAGAAATAGTGACAGAAGATTGACTCTGAGAGGCATTTTGAAAAGTAAATGTCAGAACCTTCTAATGGTTTGAAAACTAATGTCAGGTGACATCAAGATTTCTGGTCCAGGGTCTAAGGCATTAGAGGAACTGTTGTCAGAAACAGGAGGATAGAGTTGTCTTTAGTGAGGGACCGTGACCCAATCCATTTTAGCCATTTTTTTTAAATCCCCAAAGTGATGATGTTCACATGGGACCTTTGTGATTTGGGGTGACTAACTCATAAGGCTCTGTGTCCTCATTCATAAGTCAGATGCAGTAACAGCTCATCTGCTGCAAGGCTCCTGTGGAGACAGAATGTATATAGTACTCAGAACAGTGACAGGGTTGCAGTTGGTGCTCAGGAAAACCCATGGTTACTTCAGGAGCACTCCATAGGAGTTGGAGGCCTGGGACAAGGGCAGAGAGTACAAGGCATTTTTAGAAAAGACCAGGTATTTGTACGGAGCATGCAAAGGAATGGAGAAAAACTGAGTTGAAGCAAAAAGAGAGCTGCAAACTTCTGAGAACAGAAGAGCACAAGGGTTCAAGTGGCCCCAGGTGGCTGGGTTTTAGAGGTTGGTGGCATGTAACAGCTGCCATTTGCTGCATGCTTTTTATCGCCTGGCAATGTTAAGTGCTTTCTCTGCAGAAATAACTCAATGACATCATGGTTAGCTGGTGCCACGAAGGAAGACACAAAAGTGTCACACCCTGGGCTGGAGAGATGGCTCAGCGGTTAAAGAACAATGGTTGTTCTTGCAGAAGGCCCCGGGTTCCGAATCCCAGCACCCACATGGCACCTAACAACTGTCTGTAACTCCAGTCCCAGGGGATCTGACAGCCTCTTCTGTCCTCTGCAGGCATTGCACAACATGGGTACACTTTACCTACCTGCAGGCAATATATGCAAATACACAAAATAAAAAAATAATAAATTTTAAAAAAAAAGTGTCACACCCTAAAAGTCTTAAGTCCAAGGTCTGGAGGCTTCCAGAACTCTGTCCTTAGTCCCATTTGAGCAGATAAATTTTTGCTTGTATGCAGGTAGCACTGTGGCAGGTAGAGCCAGGAACCCATACCCGTCCAGTCATGCAGGGCTGGGCTGTGGGCAAGAAGAGGCGAGAAACCCATGCTAACAGTGCAGACCTTTAGCTCCAAGAGAGAGGTGACTAGAGGAGGCTGCAGCATCAGGCTAACCTTGAAGGACAGCAACTTGTGTCCCTTCAGAGAGGAGTCAGGTAGGGAGAGCTGACTGAGGAGTCCTGCCTGGTGTGGGGACAGGCCAGGACAGCTGGGAAGGGGCCAGTATTGGGGCTGGATGTCCACAGATGGTAGGACGGCGTATGAGTATTTCAAGCATAGGGACTGGGAGGCCACTGAGTATCACCAACAAAGGAAGATAGCTTGGAGCCTGATTAGAAAGAGAAAGGTTAAGAAGCATTTTTATTTTCACAACTTTTAGGTTTAAAACCATTCCAAACACACCAGAAAAGATACAGGAAAAAGTATAAAGAATTCCCATTTGCCCTTTTCCCAGATTCCCTGATTGATCACACTTAGTCCATTTGTTTTATTATTTTTCCTCTATCTGTACAGATGCTCCTTGACTTACAAGCGGGCTTCCACCTGATAAACCCACTGTAAGCTGAAAAAAAGTTTTCAATTAAAAATGCGTTGATGGGCTGGGTATGGTAGTGCATACCTTTAATCCCAGCACTTAGGAGGCAGAGGCAGGTGAATCTTCGTGAGTTCAAAGCCAGCCTGGTCTACATAAGAGTTCCAGGACAGCTGGGGCTACAGGGAGCCCCGTCTCAAAAAGACAAAAGTATTGATGGGCTGGGGAGATGGCTTAGTGCACAGAGCTGTTGCTATGCAAGTGTGAGGACTGGAGTTCACACCCCCAGCACCCATGTAAATGCCAGGTAGGCATAGCAGCCTGCCTATAATTCCATTGCTTGGAAGGCAGAGGCAGTAGATCCCCTAGGCAAGCTGGTTAGCTACACTAGCTGTTCTAGTTTGCTTCTCCATTGCTATGACAAACTACTCCAACCAATACCAACTTGGGGAGGAAAGGGTTTATTTGGCTTACATCTCCCAGGTCACAGCCAATCACTAAGGGAGCCCAAGGCAGGAACTCAGGGCAGGAGCTGCAGCATAGGCCATGGAGGAATGCTGCTTACTGGCTTGCTCCACTGACCTATACTCAGCTTGCTTGCTTATACAACACAGGACAACCTGCCCAGGGTTGGCACTACCCACAGTGGACTGGCCCTCCCATACCACTCAACAGTCAAGAAAATTACCCACAGACATAGGCCAGTCCTATGGAGAAAATTCCCCAACTGAGGCTCCCTCTACCCAGGAGTGTCAAGTTGACAACTAAAGCTGATATTAGTGATATTAGTGGGCTCTGGCTTCAATTGAGAAGCCTTGCTTCAATGAATAAGGTAAAGAGCAATTGAAGAAGACTCCTGATTTCATTCCTGGGCCTCCACATGAAACATGAATGCTCATGCACCCACACACATGCAAGCACACACAGATGCGCGCACACACACACACACACCACAAGCACATGTTAAAAAAAATGCATTAAATCCACCTAACTACTCAGCATCCTAGCTTGGTCGTGCAGTACACTGTATAGTGCCAGTCATTGCCACTTGTGACCACATGACTCCTGGAGCTGTGACTACTGCCCAGCATCACAGGAGAATATCATACTGCATGTTATTAGCCTAGGAAAAGTTCAAAATCCAAAGTTCAGAATTGAATTTTGGCTGAACAGACATTGCTTTCGCACCATCATAAAGCTGAAAAATTGCAAGTTGACTATTCAAAAGTTAGAAATCTTTGTATTGTTATTCTTTTCTGAACCCTTTGAAAGTTACAGATAGCAGGCCCCAGTTGCTTCACTGTGCATTTCCTAAGATCAAGGGGACAATAGTCAGGATTAGGAAAGTAACAATACAATTACAAATTTTATTAATACGTTAATATAACACAGACCTAACCTACAGAGTTTGTTCACATTTCTTCACATACCCTAATAATGTCCTTAGAGAGAGAGAGAGAGAGAGAGAGAGAGAGAGAGAGAGAGAGAGCTGGCCCAGTATCATGCTTTGGCATTTAGTTGGCCTATTGAATAGTCTGTTTTAATAACTAAGGGACTAGGTGTCTAAGCTCTGGAAGAAGTAGCCGTCAAACAGAAAAGAATGGGTTAGGCACAAGTGTGATAATACTTGGGAAGAAACAGACTTTTTTGAGATTTCAAAACAATATAGCTTGTCATAGTAGCATACTCCTATAATCCCAGTTACTCAGGGGACTTCGAAATTCTAGCAAAAACTGTTTCCGAGCAAATCAAGACATTTTCAAGAAATTTTACAGATGCCCAGGAAAAGCTTCAAATGTAATGTGTTTGGATTATCTTATAGTATCAGGACAAGATGGAATTGCTTATGACAGTTTGGGGTTAGATCCTGGTGTTCTGTCATGGACTAAAGGATAGTGCCAAGCTGACTGGGACACCAAGAACTTCCTGATCTGTGGAGAACAAGGCACGGGAAGTCAGGATGTCACACGGTGTGACAAGATGGCTGACAAGCCTAGGCTCCGTGACTTGTGTTATCAATGTGTCTTTTTCCTTTTTATTGAAATAGGTTAAACAGTGCCCCAGTTGAGGGATATTCTGAGCATGTTGGAAATAAAACCACTATAAGGATGACTTATCCAGAGGGTGCACCACTGTCGGATGCTGAATATTATGCCAATGACTTGTTCGTCACTGTTCTATTTAAGAGTGTTGATTTCAACTGGCTTCAAGCAATAGTAAAAAATGAAACCCTGGTAAGCCCTCAAAATTCATCTGTCAACTGGGTATTAGTAAAAAATGAGATAGCCTCAAATTGCAATTATGGACTTTGATTTTTAAACACATATAATAGAGTACATACCTTTGTGTTGTCTTCTGCAAGGTTTTTACAAAGAGGATGGCTTTGTAGGAACCTCTCAGAACTCCTTGCTGCAGATTGCTTTCAGAACCAGATTAAGAATTGGCAGGTAAAACAGGAAGTGTAGCTCAATTTGTAGTGTGTTTGCCTAGCATGCACAGGGCCCTGGGTTCTATTTCTTAGAACTACATAAAGTTGGGTGTAGGGATGCACACCTGTAATCCCAGCACTTGAGGAAGGGGCTGGAGGATCAGAAGCTCAAGGTCATGCTCAGCTACGTTATCAGTTTGAGGCCAATCTGGGCTACATGAGACCCTGTCTCAAAAAAATCCATCAATCAATCAATCAAAAAAAGAAAAATAATTCTATGAACAATTTCTGTTCTGAGGTTGATTGCCATCTTACTCACCAGACATGGACTTGAATGACTTTTGGTTAGTTCCACAAGTGAGATTTACTTGGATGAATGTAAACTATTGCTGAAGATATTAAAAAGAATATATATTAGAGTATAGAATATTATATATATTTAAATATATGTATTTATTCTTCAAAATGCTTTAGTCAGTGGTCCTCTGTTGGAGTAAATCCAAAGCATTCCAGAAGAACCAATGCAGAGGTTTTGACGCAGCGCCTCCATTTGCTCAGATTCCTGATGTTGATCTTTGCAAAATCAATTGCACTATTTTGTAGTAATACCCATTATAATGAAATAAATTTCAGAGCTCAGTTACCAAGCTGATCACAAGTAGCTGTCTGCAGAACTATCAGGATAGGGCTGGTGAGATGGATCAGAGGGTAAAGGTGCCTGCCACCAAGCTTAATGACCTGAATTTGATCCCCAAGGGCCATGTGGTGGAAAGAAAGAGCTTATTCCCGGAAGTTATCAAGTTATCCTCTGACCTCCACAGGTGTGCTTTGGCGTGTGTGTACTCACACTCAGACATACAATCGATAGCTAGATAGATTGATCGATTGATCGATAGATGTTTAGTGTTAGATTTTAGAAGAGGAGAAAAGAGTGAAATTTAAAGTTTAGAAATAAGAGCCAGAGCCAGACCTGCAACAGGCAAGGAACGTGCCCTTTAGTCAAGATACCACTGCCAAGGGCAGAAGACTTTCCGAAGGAAGGTGGCATCTGCAACTAAGGGGAGGGAAGTTTGGACTGACATAGAAATTTTACTAAGCACAGCTTCAGTAATTTACTCAGTGCCAGGGTCTGGTACCCTTGGGTGATTGCAGGTCCTCCTCCCAAGATTATTTTCTCAGGCAGATAAGGCAAGTAATCTAGAGCACTAAAGGAAACAGGTTGGCTCCACAGTCTCCTTCAGTCCTGGGACTGACCAACTGATAAGGCTTGAGCAAGGTCAGCCTGCCAATTTAGGGCCAGTTGGCCACTTTAAGGGATTTGTAGTTTTATCACTTCCCTAATGAGACTTAGAACTCTCCTGCAATTCACACATTCTATCATTTAGAAATACAGTTTTTAAAATAAAAAATACTAGGCTTTTCACATCACTTCAGTGTGTGGAGGAATTAATACTACAGAGCTTGATTCTGTGCAAATGTCTGTGATTTCTCTTGGGTGGAAGTTCTAATGGGAAAATGAAGCATATAAGAAGTGACTTCCAGTCAGTTGCTAAGCAACTTTGTGAGACTAGGAAATAGTAAAGTCGGTGGAGAGCCAGATACAAGGTGAGGCCCATCTAGCAAGGCATTCACAGCAGTTGTTACCCTTCCACTGAACCTGTTCGTTTGGCCTTCCCTGGGAACATGATGGCTGTCGGTTGTACCTAAGGTTTTCTAGCTCAGGTCATTCCCTGAGGAATTTCTTCTGCAAGCAAACAAACTGCTTCTAGAGTTTCATTTTGTCCAGTGCCACATTTGTAAATTGCATGGTTCAGAATTCCTTTTTTGAGTTGAGTCACATCTAAGGGACTGTGCTGCAGCAGTCAGGATGCAAGGCAGACTGGAGTAATGCCCATGACTGTGGCCTAATTAGCGTTGGATGCTTTCCTCACCCTCTGCTGGCAGTAGAACTTTATTAGTCACCCCTAATGATTCCGCTTTCTTTCTTCAGCCATTTTGGGTGCGGCTCTTCTTTTGGAAGCAGGTGGCAGAAAAAATCCCACTCCAGCCGAAACAATTCAGGATTTTGAATCCAGTTATTATCAAAGAGACTGCCTTTGACATCCTTCAGTATACAGAGCCCCAGTCAAGATTCTGGGGCCAAAATAAGGTATTTTTGTTGCTATTTGAAGTTAGCTATTCTCTATGTTCAAGGGAGACATAATCAGATTTTGTGTGTGCTTAACTGTATACCCAGAAGCATCTCCAGTAGAGAAATCCTGCCACTGGCCAGACAGCTCCATGTTGGTTCTCATTCTGTACCCCGGTACCAGGGCTCCTCGTGGGTTTAATTAGCCCTTTCCCTTTGTGATCTGTTCTTCAGTATAGTCAACACTTAAGTTACTGAGATGTTAATTAAAATATCCTTGCTCCAGGATCCCATTTAACTGCAAGGCACTGAAAGGCACTTTATTAGTCTAAAGAGTTCTTTATATTTTACCTCTGTGGGCCACCCAGGTAAGAATTGGTGCTTATCAACACTTGATAATAAATAAAGTCAGCCCTCTAGAAAAGAGCTTTCCAGTTGACACCTAGGCCCCACCCCAGGCATTCTGATTTAATTGGTCAGTGTTAAGGTCTGTGCATTGGGATTGTCAAAATTCCCCAGGTGATTTTACTTTGCAGCTCAGTCCGAGAACCTAGGCAGACCATCATGGATTGGCCTGCAGTTAGCACATGCCACCAAAAGGGATTGGTGTGGAGATAACTTTGTTACTTGTGGCTTAGTGCTCTGAATAGCTTAGACCCACGCCTTTAAAACTTAAAACCTTATGGAAATCTTTCTTAAACAAAATTTAAGAGCTCTTACTATGTCCAAAAGAAAAAGATGAGTCAGTTAAAAATAAAAAAATTCATAAATTATGAACATTTGACAAAAGAAGAAAGTAAAATAGTCAAATAATTCATGATAAGCTATTTTCCAGTAATTAAATAAGAGCAAGTTAGCCACAATGGCATTTTTAAACCCACTTTCTTGTTTGTTTTGATTTTTTAGGCATTTCTGTTTTATGTGTGTGAGTGTTTTGCCCGAATGATGTGAATGCACCACATGCATGCAGTGCCCACAGAGGCCAGAAGAGTGTGTTGGATCCCTTGGAACTGGAGTTGTTGAGAGTTGTTAGCCGCCATGTGGGTGCTGGGCATCCACATCTGACTTTTTTTGCTCATCTCTTTAGCAAAACTTAAGTTTGATAATACTCTTGTCTGGCAGGAATGTAGGTAGAATAGGTTCTCCCAATTTACATCATGTAAAAATATTAATTGGCTTGGTTGTGTGTTGTTGCATATACCTATCATCCCAGTATTTAGGAGATTGAGGCAGAAAGATTACAAATTCAAGGCTAGACTGGGCTACACAGTGAAACTGTGCCTCAGGAAAAAACGAACAGTCTTTACCCAGCAATTTTACTCTTAAAGTATTGATTATAAGAAAATTAAAGAAAACTCCAACATCTGGTAGTTGAGATTGCTCACCATAGCATTACTAGAAAAACACTAAATAAAACAGCCTACATACTCGTCATTAGGAGATTGCTTTAGGAGTTGGAGGTACAGCTCAGTTGGTGGAATGCTTACCCAGCATCCATGAATCCTAGTGGGGTTGGAAGGAGGTGGTGGATAAGATCAAAATACATTGTATACATGTATTAAATTTTCAAAGAATTAATAAAAATACTATTTTTGGCCAGGCATGGTGGTGCATGCCTTACCTAGTACTCGGGAGGCAGAGGCAGGCAGATCTCTTAGTTTGAGGACAGCCTGGTCTCTATAGTGAATCCAGGACAGCCGGGGCTACAGGGAGACCCTGTCTCAAAAAAAACAAACAAACAAAAAAAAACATTATTTTTAAGAAAAAATAAAGTAAATCTTGGTCTTTGTTCTTTTACAGAACATCCCCCCAATGTTCTGAACTGCATTAACCAGGCATGGTTATATTTGTCTATAATTCCAGCACCCAGGAGGTAGAGGCAGGAGGATCAGAAATTTAAGGTCATCCTTAGCCCTATAGTGAGTTCATGGTCAAACTGGAATATATTAGAACCTATCTTTTTTTTTAAAAAGAGACTTTAATCTAAAAATTGCAGTGTCAGAAACTTTCTCACATCATATCTAGCAGGTAGAGAAGTTTGCTGGGCAGTGAGGCAGTGTGATCTCAGGAGTGTTTGAACCAAGTGACACAATTGGAGGAGGTATCTGTCCTTTCTGAGCTCTCTTTATGCATTACCTCCCTGAACCTTTAATTTCACACTTTCCACAGACACTGATTGTGGACCCCCTGTGTGCTGGGTGCCCTGCTGGTCACTTGGACCCCAGACTGCATGCTGGAGGACAGACAGTACCTCACTTCCCTATAGCCAGCCAGCAGGAAGGCTTCCTTGGCACTCGTTTCTCCTGGCTTCCTTTAACTACAAACATGCAGAATGACTGTGGAGTTCTTTTTTTAATATTTCATTTTATTATTTTTATTTTATGTGTATGAGTGTATTGCCTACATGTATGTGAGTGCACCCCTGTCCTGCAATGCCACAGAGATCAGAAAAGGGCTTCGGATTCCCCTGGAACTGGAGTTAAGGACAGTTCATAGCCACCATGTGAGTGCTGGGAATCGAAACCAGGTGAGCCATCTCTCCAGCCCTGTGAAGTTCTTTTAACAACCGTTAGTAACTCCAGTTCCAGGGGATCCAACACCCTCTTCTGTTGTCTGAGGACATTGCACAACATGGGTGCACTTACATACATGCAGGCAAAGCACTCATACACATAAAAATAAATCAATAAAATGTTTAAAGAATTTATAGGTTGAATATCCTGAATCTGAAAATCCAAAATCTAAAACCCTTTGATCACTAACATGACTCATGTGATGGGCCACAGTCAAAATGCAGGCATACTAAAAATAGAATTATAATATATGTTTAAAGCATATATGAAACACAAATGAGTATCATTATACTTGGGTCCTATCCGGGTATTCCAAAAATATCTGAAACATTTCTGGTCCCAAACATTTCAGATAGGGGAAACTCAGCTGGCAGCTATACCAGCCACAATCTTCAGGGAAGGCTCTTAGCCACAGGCTCTCTGTACTTCCTGTCTGTGTGCTGTTTTTACCCAAGACTGAAGTGGCGTTCCAGAAAGCATGGTGCCAGGGGTACACGTCCCAAGAAGTGTGGCAAGATACCAGACAGACAGGGAGTGCTGATGATGAGAATCCAAAATGAGCTGGACCTTGGGCCTGCTAGGCCGGAGTTGGCAGACTGCATTTCAGAACGAACAGATGTAACCAGGAAGGCGGCATACACCTAGAATCTAGCACTTGGGAAGTTGGGGCAGGAGGATCAAGGGATAGAAGCCAGCTGGATTACATGGCAAGACCCTGTCTCAAAGTAAACAGACAGGGAAACTAATTCAGATTTAAAAATACTAAAGGAACAAACATTTAAGTCCTTAATGTATGTCTGGCTTAGCAGCTGTATGTATGAAAACAGTCTGGAAGTGTTGGTGGCCAGAAGAGCAAATGATGGCATTAAGTGGTACAGCAGCAGGTAAGGAACAGAGAATCCTGCATCTTCAGGGAGAGCCTGTCCCACAGGAAGGATGGGCTCCAGAAACCATGCCCTGGAAAGGACAGTGGAAGGTGCTGTGTCTGTGGAGCAGACCTCATAAACCTTTGTCATGCAAGAAAGGAAATGGACTTACTTTGTGATTCTGGCCATTGTGTAGGTTCATGGGGTAGAAGCTTTAAAAATGGCATATGTTAGCCTGACACAGGCTACTTTTTGAGGGTGCATTAATAGTGTTCACATCAAGGCATGGTTTTCGTCCAGTTTGGTTTAGTTTGTGTTTTGACAAAGGGTTTCACCCTGTCCCAGGCTGGTCTGGAGTTCACCATGTATCCGGCTGTCCTCAAACTTGTACCAGCCTTCCTCTCTCAGCCTCCCAAGTGCTAGTATTAGTGGAGTAAGCCACCCCATCCATCAGAGACCCTGTTTTAGAATCAAGGTTTCCTAACCTGCCTGGAGTGTTAGACTTTGAAATTCTGTGATAGGTAAGCTCCTGTGTTTATGAAGTTTGAGCCCCCAGTGCAGCTGTTACAACTGCATAGTACAGAACAGTACCTGCCAAGCAAATCCTTCACTGTGAGTGCTCAACCAAAGGTGGGTCATCTATATCAACTTCCCCCCATCCAAGGGAGTATTGTGGAAGAGTGGGCAGAAAGAATATAAGAGCCAGAGGATGGGGAGAAGAACTGTGAAATAACCGTCTTCTGAAATGACATGATTGATGCACATATCAACTCAGCAGCTGTGGTTTCCTGCACAGGACCAAGCCAGTCAAAATTCCAGCATGGGTGGAGTAGGGCTCCTGAGGCCCCACCCCTAGCTGAGGAGCTATTGGCAGTTGGTGACTGCTGATAGGAGAAGAGCCACTTTTCTTTGGGGATATGGCTGCTAATAGGTTACCCATGTCCTGGTGCATAGCCCTACACCCATTTGCACATGGCTAGCAGTAACTAGATGCGGAGCTATTAATAACAATTTAAAAAGAGGACATCAAGTTGGGAGGAAGGTGGGTTGGTGTGACCCAGAGAGAGTTGGAGGGAGGTAGTAAGGGGGTGAATAAGATGAAAATACATTATATACATATATGAAATTTTCAAAGAATTAATAAAGTTTTTCTTAAATAAAATAGTGGTCTTTGTTCTTTTTCAGAACATCCCCACCATCGGTGTCATTGCCATTGTCTTAGCCACGCATCTGTGTGATGAAGTCAGCCTGGCAGGTTTTGGATATGACCTCAGTCAACCCAGAACACCTTTGCACTATTTCGACAATCAGTGCATGAGTGCCATGAACTGGCAATTGATGCACAACGTGACCACTGAGACCAAGTTCCTCCTGAAGCTGATCAAAGAGGGTGTGGTAAAGGACCTCAGCGGGGGTATCCATTGTGAATTCTGAGCACAACAAACCTGACACATGGAGATGTACCCGAGACTGTGCCAACGGCCTTCCGATGCACTTCAGCCTGCAACTACTTTAACATGCAGCTGGTGTTTTTAAACCTTTTGTTAAAAAAAAACAAAACCAAAAAATGTTTCACTTTTCCCACTTTGTCCTGTTTATTTGAAGTCTGTGTTTGGATTGCTTTTTGCAGTTGCACATTTTATGTTAATTTTAAAAATGGGATTGGATTTCTCAAAGAGAATTGTATAGAATGATGCTTTATTATGTTTTAAGAAAGTAATTTAATTTGTAAGAACTTCACCCATGTAATCTGTACAGCAAGTACCAGGTGATGATGTAGGAGAGGGGGCTATGCTGCTTTGATGATAGCCCTGATGCCTGAGTCTGGTTTCTGCTGCTCTGTTTGGTGGGACCCATGGTGGAGATGCTTCCTGCTTCCTAGATGATGAAAGGAGCTCAATCATTCAACCACTGGCAGCTGCAGGAAGCACTGGACCAGTTGGACAAGTTCATGGGCCCTTTCCGATGGTTCACACTCTGCCAGAAGACTCCTTAGAATCAACCAGGGGAGCTGTCCTAATCATCTCTGCTCAGAGAGTCCTGTGAAGCTGCCCTGGGCTACAGATGCCACAGTCTTCCAAGCAACTAGGACGACTCTTGAAATTCTTGAGATTTTTTTTCTGCCCTTCCAAAGCACTTAAGTGTTATTTAAGATGTTCTGCTGTCTGTCTGAGGTGGCTTACCGTAACTATGACAAAGCTTCTACTATCTAGAACCATGGAGGAATGAACCCCTCCCAGGGATAATCACTTTTTTTTTTTTTTTGAAACACTGCAGTGAAATCCTTCCAGTGTTATAAATTTCTTATTTGAAAATAAAAGATTTTTGGATGCCTATCTGACAGTGCGTACCAAGCAATGTGCTGGTCCAAATAAAAGAATAAAAACTGTTGAGGGGTCACAGGATACAGTTAATTTCAAGTGGTCATTCATACATTTTAAGAAAATAAGTCTAATTCTCTGCTAAGTGGAGATTGTACTTTGGACGCTGCATAGTGAACGGAGTTAGGGTGCCCTACTCTGCAAGCTGTTTGATCCAGGCTCGGGGGCCCTTCTGTGGAGGTTGTGTATGTATAACAGCTGCCTCTTCCCTGAACTCTGGCTTCTGTGTCTTAGTGGCCTAGTCTCTGATGTCATGTCTGTGCTTCTTTCTCTCTTCCCACCCTCTCTACTCCACCCTTTGTCCTCTACCCTTCCTTGCTGGTGCCTTCTGGTGCTTTCCTCAGTTTACTTCCCTGTCTGGCATCCCCAGCGCAGCCTGTCCCCTTCACAGCTTCCTCAGGAGTAGGGCAGTGGGGGCAGGTCATGCAGTCAACAGAGTCCCTTCCATCTCCAGGGCTTCAGCTGTAGCTCAGAGAGGCTGCAGAGCAAAATAGTATTTCTCTGGCTTTATGTCTTGTCTTAAAAAGTGTGGATTTGAAATTCTACTCTGAAAGATAATGTTTATAAGAAAGTATTTCAAAAGTCTCACCAATTATATGACCTAATTTTTATTGATTTGTGAATTTCATACATCTTGATCATACTTAGACTCCCTCCCTTATTTGCATCCCCCTCCCATGTAGCCCCTCCACTGGTTTCCATACATTCTGTCATGTATTAAAGCGTATTCAGCCAGGTTTCTGTCCCCAAATGTCCCTCGGTGTGAATCCATCCACTGGAGCCTGGATATAACCTAATTTTGAAAACAGACTCTGGAAGATAGTTCAGAACTTCCATATGGCTCGGACAGAAACCACATAGCCCCACCCCACCCCTCAGTGCTAAAGAAAACATTGATTTTCTCATTGATACTATAAAATACCTGGCAAAAGTAATTTAAGGAAGGGTTTAGGCTCACAGTGTGAAGTAAAGTTCGTTATGATAGAGAAATCATGGTGGCAGGAGTGTGAAGCAGCTGGTCACGTTGCTTCCACAATCTGAAGGTAGAAATGAATGCCTATATTCAACTGGTTTTCTTATGCAGCCTAAAACCTGGCCTATGGAACTGTACTCATACAATTAGGGCAGGTCCTCTGACTTCAGACGTGCCCAGAGACTTGTCTCCTAGGTGATTCTAGATCCTGTCAAGTAGACAATATTTACCATCAGTGTATACATGTATGTACTTTTTAAAGCAGACTCAAAACCTCCTCAGGCAACTTTGTTGGAGTGGCGGAGACCTCACAGGTTGATGTGGCACTCAGACCTGTACTTCATCCATGTATTAGTTACTTTTCTTGTGACAAAACACCTAACAGAAGCAACTTAAGGCAAGTAAGGTTGATTTTGACTCATGATTTATAGGGTACAGTACATCATGACAGTTGTGGTGGCTTCCAATAGTTTCCCAACCTCCGTAGATGGCACCACGGCTGGGGACTATTGTGTTCAAATGTAAGTCTGTGGAGGGAGCATTTTTATATTCAGACCATAACATCATAGTTTCCATCAACTGTCAGGCTTGGTCCTGTCCCTACCCATCCTCTGCATGTCCCTTTGGCGTCTATATATTGTGTCTGCTCCTCTTCAATGTTTTCTTCCTCATAGTAAGTGAATAAAAAGGCCTTTGATGGAGTTCACAAGTTGAGAGGAGTTGGTTCAAGAGCATCTTCAAGTTTTAACACTAGCATTGTGTGCGCACATGTGTGTACAGACGCATGTGGGGGCAGTATGCCAACCTCAGGTGGTGGTCCTCAAGTGCCATGTACTTTTGGGGGAAACAATCTCATGCTGGCTGGTCATGAACCCCAGGAATCTACCTGTCACTGCCTCCCCAGCACTAGGGTTATAAGCATACGTCACCACATCTGGCTTTTTGATGTGGCATCTGGGGATAGAACTCAGGTCCTCATATGCTTGGGCATCTAGAACTTTACTGACTGGGCTATCACTCCAGCCCCCAACACTTCAGCATTTGGGGAATGGAAAATTTCTGTTTTAAAGTACACTCCTGACCCCACACACATAGGGAACATACCTGTGGGTGGATCAAGGTATCAAGGTTGCCTTCCAATAACAGGATTCACTATCACCTTAACAGTGACATAGCATCCAAGGTACATATGTGTGCCCCTCTTAATGTGGAATTGCTGGTGTTTAGTCAAGTTGAGGGGGCTGTATGTAGTCTATATTTTCATACACTACAGAAACTTTGAGTCATGGAAAAGTTGAATGAATTTTGCTTTTTTTCTACAAAGACTTCTCTCCCTAGAGACCTAGACTGGCCTTAGAAAAATATTTGGGGGACTGGGATGAGTATGTCCTTCTAAAGTGCCTTGTTGAGACAAAGCTGAATCTGGATCTTATAAACAGTGTCATGTATTCTAAGTAACCCCTTGCTGCTTTTGTAGCACATGTAAAAAGCATCTATTTCCATAAATCATGATGGCAGGGAGTCTCTTCATTTGTTAGATCAAAGGGTTACATTGCCAAATTGGACTACTTTTACTGAATTTTACTCCTTAGTTATCAACGGTTTGAGTGGCAGATACGGCCTTAGTTTTAACAAGAACAGCAAAAAGGAGGTAGTAAGAGTTTCTAAAGCCAAGGATTCTTTCATTGTGGCAACAATCCAGCATTTTGGTCCCTCACTAGATATCAAAGGGATTGTAGAATTTTCCTTTTTACTATCTGTGTCCCAAGGGGTACATGTTCCTCCAAGGGGTGGGGCCTGCTGCGGAGAATCTGCTGCGGAGAATTAGCTGTGGAGGGAGGAGTGTTGGTGCCATTTTGGCAGCAGTGGTGTGGAAAAAATGGCCCTGGTGCCTCGCCCACGTGGATGTGAGAGGGGCATTTACTGACCTGGGGCAAAACTGTGGGCCCACAAGGCATGGGAGAAAGCTAACGGAGACTGTGGGCAGGGTGCGGAAGCGATGTGGAACAGAGGTTGCTGAGCCACAGCAGTGTGGGGCGCTGGGTGTTCACCTTTGTAAGTTACTCTTTCCCCTACCCAGGATATAAACTATGAAAAATTCAGATAGAGATGTGTTGTATGGTTTGTCTAATAGCGCCAGGAGCAAGGGACCCTAAGAGACAAATTGGCACAGCCGGCAGGATGGCGCTGGAAATGACAAACCACTGGAGTTTGGGAAAAGCAAGGGAGCTAATGGCAGCGCTGACATGGATCTTACAATGGATTACAAAATATGTAACTAAAAAGGGGCCGGCCACGAAGAAGTGTGGGCCACAGCTATGTTGTAAATGTGAGGAAATAGCCCAGTTGCAGGTATATGAAAATTTGTTAAAAGTTATAGAAAGGCTAGAAAAACTTACATGCCTGGGACACAAGCAGAGAACCCAGAGAGGGGATGTGGCTACTTTCCATAATAAAAGATTTTCTCAAAGTAGGGGAAACTGAAAAGGCCAGGGAGGTGCTGACAGATTCAGTGTAGAGCTTGAGAGAGAAAAACAAACAAACAAACAAACAAAAAAAAAACAGGACATTTTAACTTGCGTAAGGTCCAAGGACTCCAGAAGAAACTAGATAATAATGAAAAAGGAAACAACCTAAAAATCAAAGTGGCTAAGGCTGCCCCTCAGATTCAACCTTTGATACAGAAAGGAAAGGATGCTAGCAGTACTGTAGCTAGGAAATACTCCACACTGGAACTGTTAAAACTAGGAAAAACTTACAAGCAAGCAATCAAAGAGCCCCTCACCACATGGCTTGTGAGGGTATGGTGTAAGGAAGCTGCTTTCAAAATGGCGCTGACCACCTCAGTGGGGGGAGGAGCTAAGGAATTGGACCAGGACAAAAAATAAGAAAAAGTGTAGGTAATTGAAGACTAACCAGGAGGAAAATGCGTGAACACCTTGTGATCACCATAGTAGTGCATTGAAAGGAGCCTTCGTGCTCTATGTGACCTTTCACAGGATTGGAGAATAGGTTCCTGCCTATGCTAATGATTGTGGGTTTTGCCTTTATAAGCGTTGTAACACTTACAATAAACGAGTTCCTGCATGACTAAACTCCCTGCTGCATCTGAGAGTCTCGGGGAGGCGGGTGAACTGGCAAGCTGCGCACTTACCCCTCCTCAGCCCCCATCGCTGAGCTCCACGTCCTGTCTCGTTGGGGGTGCAAAGGCTCAGCAGTATGGGACATGGGAGCAAATAACATCAGTCTAGGTCCTTCAGAAGCTTCACAGCTGAGTTATATAATGACCCATCCATCCTTTTGATATAGACAGTTCAATCTAGGCCAATGCAGGGGGGAGCAGTCCTAAATACATGGTCATCACCAAAGGAAACTCCCATAATTAACAGAGGCTGGAGGACTATAAAGGGGGGACAGGCATTACTGAGAGAACTGGGTATGAGAAAAGCAATATATGATACCCAGTTCACTGGGCCAGATAAGATTGTGTTCACCAGAGATACAAAGGAAAGCTTAATTCAACTGGGACCTCAAGAATGGTATGGGGCTTTAATGGTTTTACTAAGCCCTTTAATAGGACAGGATCTTTGTAAACTGAGAGAGGCTTTAACAGATCTAAGTGACTCTGACCAACGTGTAAAATGTGTCTGTAGAATAACAGAACCTACAAGAGATATAAAAAGACCAAATGGAAGAAATGGTCCGTTTGGGTTACTCGAAGACAAATGTGGCAAGACTTACATCAAGCCCAAATTCCCAAAGAAAAAATTGATAGAAAACCAAATTTGGTACTAAGGAGTTTCTGGAAGGCTTTAAAACCAGAACTATTTACAAAAGGTATTCAAAGGATAAAAACTGTCCCAGGGGTGGTTAAAAATCCTCAAAAAATAAGATGTGTTTCTCTCCTGATAAAGGCTATACTAGGGGTGGAGGCAGTTTTTCCCACCGAGGCCTCCTCCAGCAGCCAGGTATGGTCAATGAAGACACTACACATATGGCTACAGTCAGGAGGCAGACCCAGGGCCTGCCTGACTCAG